CTTTGAAGCTCCCTCCCTGATCTTCTCCTTGACCCTCCAATAGCTCCATTCTATTTTTTCCCCCCCTCATCTTGATGACCCTACACTAACCCCATGAGTCTCCTTCACTGCTTACAACCCACCAGTGGTCTTTGCACTGTCTCAAGGCCCAGTATCTCTATCGACAGCTATGCTTGGCCATAGCTGCTCTTGTATTGAAGCATTTGGAAGCTTGGTGCCATATGGCTCAGAGTTGCTTGCACTCCCTGGAGCATATTAAGGTTCGTATCCAGCAGCAGGGCCGGCGCAACCCATTAGGCGACCTAGGCGGTCGACCTAGGCGGTCGCCTAGGGCACTACAATTTGGGGGGCGGTGACTGCGGCGGTATTTCGGGGGCGGGACCTTCCGCCGCCTAGGGGCAGCAGAAAAGCTGGTGGCACTCCTGTCCAGCAGCCATCAAGGAGCAGAGAGGAAACGGTAAAAGCTAATGAGCCCTGCAATGGGATTGTGAAAGGGTGGAGGGTTGTGGAGTCAACTGACTCAAGATCATGCCACGGGGCTAAAAATGGAGTAGACATTTGGGCTCAGGCTGGAGCCTGGGGGCTGGAGCCTGGTGAGGGGGGGAAGGTCTTGGAGCCAGCTTCAGCCTGAGCCTGAACATCTACACTACCTTTTAGTGCCATAGCGTGAGCCCCATGAGCTGAAGTCTGTTGACCCGGGCCATGGTGTCTCGTTTTTTGTTTGCAGTGTAGATGTACCCTGAATGTATCCCCTACACTGGCAAACAACCTCCACACCCCGCAGTTCTTGTGGAGATAACCTGCGGCCCCCTCCTTTACACTGGCTTGAGGAGCAGAAGCTGTGCACCAGGAGAGAACTGTGTTATCTTGAACAAGTCATTTACCCTCTCTGTGCCTCTGAAAGGGGGCATAATAGCAGTGCCCTACCTCAAGGGTTTGTGAGGATAAATCTGTTAAAGATTGTGAGGCACTTAGGTACTACAGTTAATGAGGGCTAAAGAAGTACCTGAGGTAGATCTGTACCATTGTCACGGACGGGAGAGTGCATCCCCCCCCGCCCCCACCACCACCTCAAGCTCTCTGAGCGTTTGTGCTGATGCAGTCTCATCTACTTCTCCACATCACCCCCTGCCTGAGGCTGTGTAGACCAGGCTCCCTACCAGTATTTATAGTTACATGTTCTGTGCATGGTATGTGTGTATAGTACTGCACCAGCTTTTACAGTTGACTTCTTAATAGTAGTGTGAAACCAAAACTGCTGATAGGCTCTACCTGGAATTAGTGGTGCAACTGAATTTTTTTTTTTTTATTTCAGAAATAAAACAGCCTTGCTGTTAGGAAAACCAGCTGTTAAAGTCAATCTAGTCCAGGGATCCGCAACCTTTGGCACGCAGTTCACCAGGGTAAGCACCCTGGCTGGCCGGGCCAGTTTGTTTACCTGCCCCGTCCACAGGTTCGGCCGATCGCGGCTCCCACTGGCCGCGGTTCACTGCTCCAGGCCAATGGGGGCTGCAGGAAGGGTGGCCGGCACATCCCTCGGCCCGTGCAGCTTCCCGCCGCCTCCATTGGCCTGGAGCGGCAAACCACGGCCAATGGGAGCCGCGATTGGCCGAACCTGCGAACGTGGCAGGTAAACAAACTGGCCCGGCCAGCCAGGGTGCTTACCCTGGTGAACTGCGTGCCAAAGGTTGTGGATCCCTGATCTAGTCAGTGGGACCAACATCTGCAAGAGAACTCTACTACCAATCAGGCACCAAACTAAGCTGCTGGATTTTTCAGAAGAGCTCATGATCTGAGACATTGGTGGCAAATAATATAGGAATAAATCCACCAGCATTGAACCGTTTGCCTTCATTAATCGGGTTAAAGTTCATACCACTTTGTCATCTGCTGTATGTTGATACTCCCTGCTCTGAAGCTATCACCAGCACCATGTTTTCTCCCCTTTTTAAAAAGGGGAAAAAACGTGAACTCCAAACAAACAAATGCCTTCAGGCCCTACACCATCATATTCCCTTTCACAGTTAGGCTGACTATAGAAGTTGCATGTGCTGGACTAAAAAGGTAACAGAAACCCAACAGTCAGGGCTTGATTTAACTAAGTGCTGACAAAACCAAATATGACTGATGCGTTAATGCTCCCACAATCCCCACTTCCTTTAAGAGTTGCCTAAAATAAGACCATTAGTCCAGGATTCATGTTTTATCTAAGCTATGGAGAGCCTATTAACACTGAACAGTGGTGCGACTGCTTCTGCAATCACTTTACTTCCCAGATTGGAAATGGAGAAGGGCATGTTTCTGATTATATGGCAGTACACACACACAGTGATATACAGTCAAGCCCCCAAACTCCACCTCATCCAATCCAGCAGTAAATGCATTCCATATAGACACCCAAGCTGACTCTTCTGGGACCAGGTTGATTTGAGCAAACCAATTGACAATAACAAAGGGCCTAATCCTTCAAGCAACTAAGCGTGTAACTCTGCTCATATGAATATTGCCATTGGCTTCCGTGGAACCACTTGTGAGCAAAATTAAGCACTTATTTAAAAGTTAGTAGGAAAGAGGGCTTGGGTTCATTTTTTTTTTTAAGATAAATTCTGCCCTAACTGATAATCCTCCATCTAGTCTCTGTATTTTACTTCCTTAAACATGTGACCATATTATGGTCCTCAGTGAAAGAAGGGACATTCATTAGATAGGATCTCATTAATGTTATTGATTCTAATGTCTGCATTAAGATAGCAAGGTACCAATACTCAAACTTTAAAATTCTAAACCACCTCACACTTACTGTCAGCAAATAAGAGACCCAGCAACAAATAAAGGAATGCAAATGACAGAACATAAGATAATGTGTGTATTGAAATAAACCTTCATGTTCTATTCTTTAAAATCTCTGAGGTTATTTAGGTGTCAGCTGACGAGCATAAGTAGAGTAGGGGAGTGGAAATAGCACACATTTTTTAGCAGTAGATAAGTTATTTTTTTTCTTTAAATAAAACTCAACTCTTAAAGCAATCATCATGACCCACTTGTGGTTCTCTTTGTACCCTGGTAATGAATGGCCATAGTGTTAAGTTCCCATAGTTGTTGCCTCAAGCTCTTGTCAGTCATTACCTGATAAATAAAAACTTCAAACAGGCTTCTTTCTGCTTAATTGGGCTGACTTTCTCTCCAAGAGGAATAGCTAATATAGAGAGACTAATGTGTCCATGGCAACAATGGAAGTTGTCAATAGAAGTAGTTGGACGAACATACTGTGGATGCAAATCGCTGACTCAAAAGCAGAGTATTTCTGGCTTTCTTCCATCCAAAAGTGTCTCTTCCAATTGCAGGCAAAGCTGAAAAGAGTGAAATGGAGAACTCTGGATGAAATTCTGAAATCCTTGGCAGCAACAGGGATGTTACCTGAGTAAGGATTGTAGCATCTTACCAGCCTAAGCACAATGACTGACTATAATGGAGCAGAACTAATGAATCTTCATGAAGCGAAAAATAACACCCCGGAAGCTCAGTCAGAAACGAACTTACAATAACTGACATTTAGAATAATGTTCTAAATGTGCTTTATAATGTCATTAATCAGACAAATCCAACAACTCTGAAGCCTGTGCTCAGTGGGGTTTTATGGCCAATGCCAGTTTATGGTAACATTCATATTTGTGTCAAGAATTCCCTTTCCAAAACAGTAGGTTCAGAGACAAAGCTGCAGTAGCACTGTGGACTGATGGGAGGCTAACAAACTGAGAAGTGGATTTTTGGCTTCCAGACAGGGGTTGCAGCTGCTGAGCATATCTAATATGTCAGCGGTTCTCAAACCGTGGGTCGGGACCCCAAAGTGGGTCATGACCCTGTTTTAATGGGGTCACCAAAACTGGTGTTAGACGGCCTGGGGCCCAAGCCAAACTGCCCAGGGCCAAGCCAAACTGCCTTCAGGCTTCGGCCCCCTTTCCCTGGGGTAACAGGGCTTGGGTGGGCTCAAGCTTCGGTCCCCCTCCTGGGGACATGCAGTAATTTTGTTAGCAGAAGTGGGTCACAGTGCAATGAAGTTTGAGAAATCCTGCTGTGTGTTTGTGTGTGTGTGTGTGTGTGTGTGTGTGGCAATGCTGAAGAAAAGTAGCATTTAAACATATAGGCTGGATCCTTCTCTCAATGAAGCCAATGGCAGAACTTCTAGTAGGGTCAGATTCTCCTTTACACTAGTTGTAAATGAAAAGAATCAGCCCCATATTGTGAACTAAGGAAAGAAAATGAAGAACCTCTTTCTAAATACGCTCTGGGTATTTAGGCCCGCTCCAAAGCCCACTGAAGTCCAAAGGAGTCCTTTCACTGAGCTTTGGATCAGGCCCTTAAACATTGAGGGGTTCCACTTTTTGTGTCTGTATCCACGTGAGACTCTTTGGAAGATGGTCGTTTATTTCAAGATCTTAGTGATTTCATCCAACAGGCCAGCAAAGGTATTTAGATAAGCTGGCATCATGCTGCACATAGTTCAAAGTAAACAAGAACCCAGTAACCTCCATTGCAATGCAGTGTGGTATCAATAGTAGGAAACCTCATGCCAGCAGCATCTCTGAAATATGCTAAAACAATCTCAATTAGAAAATGTCAGTTTCTTGGCTGATGGGTTTTTTTCCCCTTTCTTGTGCCTCTATAATTTTATTGGGATGACTAAACTCTGAACTATGTTAGCAGTAAACAGAACTAATTTACCCCCTGCTTCTTTGAAACAGCTGCTGACAGCTGCACTATAATTCAATCATGGATCTTTGCAATGCAGCCTGCAAAATATATTCATATTTTTGTTTTCCCCTCTACTGTATTTATACTTTGGCAGCTGCAGCAGATTTTGACCATGTGCCCATGATGCCAATGCACAGAAACTAGTGGACATGGAAGCACTGTTGCAGAATAGCTGACACGCACCATGAAATATTACTCGCAACAAAATACCCTTTAGATTTAGTGGGAATAATCACACATACACAAAGTTGTTGGAATATCTTTTGTAAAGTCACAATGATTTATTCAACTAGTTTGTACAAAATGCTTCTAACAACTGCTCTATGAAAAGAACCAGAAATGTGTACATGTATTTTGCCAACTGTTAATAAATATTTTCTTAAATAAGGAAACAAATGTGTTTAGAAGAGATGAGAATCAATTTCCTGAATGCGTGATTGAAAAGGAATTCAGAGATGGAAATAAATAATTTTTTCCCACTTTTGTGACAATTATTTACATAAAAATGTACAAAACAATGGAATTGATGTCTAGCCTAGCAACAGAGATCCTGTAGTCATGTTTAAAAAACAAACAAACAAAAAAACACCACAGGATATATATAATATATGGATCCAGTACAGAGAGAGAGGGTAGTCAGGACTGAACTGTAATATACCAGTACTTTGGGGCAGTAGTGGCAAACTCAACCTTGACTACATTAAAAAATAATCAGCTCGGACCATCCAATCTTAACTTTATTGGTAGCACCTTAACTCCCTGCACAAGGTTCACAGACATCTAGAATATGTTGCGTTGGTGGCTGATATACATACAACATTGAGTGGCATTTATGATTTGTAGGCCTTTATGCATCTCTCCTTTAAAACAATGGACACACTGAGGCAGTAGCAGCCTAACCATTTCTCTTTGACAGTTCATCTAAGGACGTCTCAGAAAAGGCTGAAAGAATATTTCAGCCACCATTTTGGAACGTGACGTCGTAAATATTGGGCCAGATTCTGATTTCAGTTAAATCTGGTGTAACAAGGGTTAGAGCCAAGTCAGACTCTTGATTCCCATTGTAGAGAAGTGTGATGCATTTGGTAATGCTGACTGGTGTTCAAGGGCCTGATCCAAGACCCATGAGACTCCTCCTATTCCTCAACAGCCTAATCCTGCTGCTATTGGAAATCCAGTGGTAAAACTCAGATCTACTACAATGGAATTAGACTTGGGTCCAAAGAAACAAGCTCCAATTCATTTCGTATCGAGCTTTTTGGCTGGTTTGTTTTTGTTTTTTGCTGTGTGTTTTTCCTTTTAAAAAGAGGAAAGCATCCGGTCTGGATTTCAACTGGGATTTAAAAATAAAAGAGCAGTTATTTATTCATGGAGCCAAGCAGTTTTCTTACTACAGATGAAATTGACAGTAAGATAGGAGTCACCCAGAAAATACAGACCCAGGGAACCAGACTTACAAATGTCATGGTTTCTTTTCCCTATTAAGGACTTGATCCTGCATAGTGCTGGGTGTTCGTTCAGCACCATCCTTGGCTTTCATCTCCTCACAGGATCAAGCCTACAGACTTGCAAAATTCCAGGGCCCTGATCTGCACCCATTGAAATCAATGGGTATTTTGCCTATGGGAGCAGGATTTTGAACTTCCTTTCATAACCTTGTAAGTGTTTGAGATGTCCAAGCTGGGTTACAAAACTGTTTTGGGGCTTTATTCGCTATTATTTAAATTTTGCTTTTAGCTGTTTTAGTCCATACTAAATGCAAATTCTTGTTGGTAGTTGAAATAGATATTATCCCTGACATAGAAATATCAAGATAATCTTGTTCTTTGGAGTTATTTTCTTCAATTCTTCCAATTCCAAAAGACATTTCTAGACTTACTTGTCCTTTTTAATTTGAGTCAATCCAGATACTTTTTGCTAGTGCAAAATTTAATACTGGAAGTGCATGTACTTAGTCTTTTTCTCCTGATTATGAAACTGGATAAAGTAAGGGTTGGAGGTAATTCTTTAACAAAATATATCTTTTTTCCAGGCACATTTTATTGTGAACAAGTTATTACAGGAACCACAAATGTTTATTACTTTGTGCATAAACACACCAGATTCTCACCCTGGATGGATTTGTTTAAAAAAGATGTTCACAATCAGCACTGGTGAGTTAGCCATCTTCTGAAAGGCTCATTTGCAGAAGTAAGAGCAATTATTTTGGAGGGGCTTGATTTTAAATGGTTCCTCTGGCTTGTTTCACTTTTCACCGGTTTGCAGAAACATGTCTATAATAAGCTAAAACAAACTTGACTCAAATGCCACTTAGAATCCAGAATTTGTTCCACTATCTCCTGTTAATTGTGCACCTTCAGAAGCATGGTCCCTACAAACTTTTTTTTTTTTTTAAAGGCAGTCCAATGCAGGAGACTTAAATCTCTTTGCAAATCCATATAAAAACGCTCTTTACAGCCACTTCTTTTTCCCCCTTCCTGCAAACCTAATGGCAGCCACATGCCCGTACCACCATGTTCCTGTATTTTTTCAAGATAACATTGGAGCTGTCATCAAAATAGAGCACTGAGATGGCATTGAGTTGTGTAGGAGCACAGCATGGCTTCGGCACAGTCTCTGGGTTTATAAAGTGAACCTGGGGGAGGGGAAAGGAAACAATGTTAAGATTATTTTTCCCCCCCCCTCTTTTTGGGCAAACCTTCCAACTTGCATGTGTGCTTTTGGCACACTGACTTGTGTACACAAATACCTCATTGTACGCACACAAGGTGAAATTCACAGGCACACTTGGGCATGCCTAAATCGGGAAGATCTGCTGCCTCTTGGTTTTTTTTCCTTGGAAGGGTGGTGCTGATGAAATCTAGTCAGCTGAAAAGCCTAGTCACTGAAGTCCTTTCTATGTCCAGCGAATAGTCGAGCACTGGATATAGGAAAGCCTTTAGTGCATGCTTCTTCCGTATTGCTGCAACCCTGTGCTGGAGAGGATAAACGGCAGTCGTAAGGGAGTGGGGGCAGAAGAGCCTATCACCAATACATTTGGGAAAACTGATTAGTTTTAAAATAGCTCTGACCCCAAACTTGAATCAAGCTCAGCCTTTTGTAGGGTCTTGGAGATGAGTTTCAACTAGAACTGGATGGGGGGAAGGGGAAGTGATGGGGGACTCTGCACATTTTTAACTTGTCTGAATGTTCCCCTTGCAAAAAAAAACTTGGGCAAATTAAATTATAACAATTTAAAAAAAAAAAAAGCAAAACTCTAGTTTCAATTGCATTTCCAGCCAGTTAGACTCCAGGAGTCTTGTAGCTACGCAGCTAGGGAAGAGTGGTGAAGCTCTCATTTGTTCCAACCAGTGGAAGTTATCTAGGGTTGTGATACTTGATGGCACTGTTTATTTGCCAGTTTAAATCGGGAAGAGTTAAGATCCTGCAGCTATTCCCCTTCATCTACTCTTGGGACCTGGTCCAAAGCCCACTGAAGGCCATGGAAAAAGACTCCCTTGGCTTCAATGGGCTTTAGAGCAGGTCCTTCATGCACTTTGTTGGGAATAGGCAAACACGCCCACTAACTGGACTATACTTGGGAGATCAAGGAATCCTCCACCCCACTCTACTCTCCATCCATATGGGAAAGAAAGCAGAAGTAGGGCTATTCTGTATTGTTACAGCTCTAGAGGCCCCTCCCTAATCCACTCCCTGCAGTTGTATGCAATGGATCTTCAGGGAATTTTGTGCAAGGGAGGCTGATCCCCTCCCCCCTACTTGGGGGGCCCTCCATTCCTACTGTTCCCCTCCGGAGCAGTGGGACTGTGCCATTTGTGTTTACATCTAGGGCCCCTCTACACGCATGGAGCATGTTAATGCTTGCAACAAAGAGATTACTTCCAGGCCAACTATTAATTCAGGCCATTCCGCTAGACCTGTTTAGCCAGATGCTGAAGGCATTATGAGCTAACACAGACCTTCCTTCTCTGGCTAGTTCTGAGGGTTTTGCTTGCACAAAATTATTCCAGTGAAGTATTGATCATAGTTAACAGCCTTCCTTATTCAACTTAAATTGCACCTACCAGTGTCTGTACAATAGCATGGTTTGTAGCATTCATGTAGGAGTTCAATGGGAAGGCACATTCTCCTTCACAGTAATATGCAGCATAGCCTTCTGGAGCAATTATCCAGTCCTGGATTAAATTGATGTTAAATCATGGAGAAAAGATGGATTTAATTTCATTGTACACTATTCAATCAATTCAAATACATGCAGGCAGTCAAAAAATCATGAAAAAGTCTCCTGTTAAACCAGCTGCTCTAATATGATCAATTCTTAACCTGTCTGCAGCACCTATTTATCCTGAAGGATCCCACAGCACTTTACAAAGAGAATACTTTGTGTATAGCAGAAGGATCACTTCATCCACTATTGGAAGGCAGCTACCTCCAGTGTGAAACGTAGGAGCTGTTTACCAGTGTCTAAAGGAATTATTCAGTAGAAAGTGAAGAACACTGTGTCCAGTTGAAACTACAGAAGGAGTTTATAGGGCCAGAAAGTAATGCTCTGAATTTAAAATTCGCCATAAAGCTGTGGGGATTATCAAATTTTCAGTCACTCTTAAACTAGCCTCCAATTTGCACATCCCCTTTTGTGCATGCAATCAGTTGTGCCAACACACAGGCAAACACCCCTTTTGTGTATGCAAAGGGCAGTGAATTAACGTGTGCATTCACACACCCATTCTTGTAAGCACAGACATTTACACACACAATCAGAGGCTAAAAATGCGTTCCATGAGTGAACGTTACTAGTAAATGACAAATGATTGAAAAGGCATCATGTCTCTCTTAAGCCTGAGCACAGAAACCTTACCTGCCAGCCAAGATCTCTGAAACTGACATAAAGTTCGTGTTTCTTGCAGGCTTGCCGCTGATCACTGCTGCTGTTTTCTGGGGGTGGGGGAGGGTGTAGGGGTGAAAAAAATTGAAACCATCAAGTGAGATTGTGTTGTCCAACTGGATGTTTCAGTGCAATTTTCAGCTGAAAGCAAGGCCCGTTAAGATTAATCCCTCAAAGTCTGAAGCTCCCCAGCACGGACACCTTTGGCAGCATTGCGATGGGGAATGTGGTGTGACTCCCGTTCTGGAGCCATGCACTGCTTTACAGCACTTGTCACTTTCTTTTAGCTGTTTCAGTTTCTTGTATTTTAATAGTAAAAAAAAAAAATGGCTGGATTCAATAAATATAAAATGCTCATCTGGTTTCTACGCAAAGCCAAGAAAGCCCTGGGAATTTTTTTTTTCAGGGCTAGTTTGCAAAACAGAATCTATTTTCATCATGCCTTTACTGTATGGCAAGAGAACGCAGCGAGAGACCCAGGAAGGCACTCTCACATACACAGTGATAAGCTTGGTATTCAAACCTATAGGGAATAAGAATAGTAAAGTGAGTCTAAAGAGTGGCACCCTCTTAACATCTCTGTATTTTCTTTGAGTACTGTCTGCTGCTGACCTGTTAGTCCTGCAAAAGCAATAGAATCATGGGAGAATGAGCTGGAATCTATTATCCGATGCATCACAAGTTCTGACTGTTGACCCATTGGGCAGGGATCCACAAGGGTACTTAGGTACCTCATCCCCAGACTTAGACATATAAGTCCCATTTTCAGGTGCCATTGCAATTCTCAAAACTCTTACTCATCTGCTGCCTAACGCTGTCGGGGCATAAGCTCACTCGCCACCTAAGCTTTTGCATTAAAAGTTCCCTAGGTGCCTATGTTTCTGCTCCTGAGCACGCATGCTACAGCTGCCAACCTGGGGTCCAGACACCTGTCTTCCCCTCAAGCCCCAGAGGGATTCACAAACCAGGGGCACATGGGCATTCTTCTACAACTAGCATTTGTGGCCCAGTGTGGTAGGTGTGCGCAGAGGCTGCCAAGATCTACATAAAACAGCCAGGGAAGGAGGGGACCTCCCTGTAGCCCAGTGGTTGAGCACTCACCTGGGAGGCGGGAGACCCCCTGGTTGATGTTCCCTCTTTGCCTGTTGGGAAAGGATTTAAACGGGGATCTGCCATCTCTTAGGTGAGTATCGTAACCACTGGGCTATAGAGTGAGATTGACTTTTCATCCATATTTGTTCCACTTTAATTGACTTTCTCTGGCCAAATTAATATTTAATCTCAAAATTTTGAAAATCTAAAATTCGGTTCAGGTCAGTTGAAACATTGTTTCTATTAAGAACATAAGAACAGCCGTACTGGGTCAGATCAAAGGTCCGTCCAGCCCAGTATCCTGTCTACCGACAGTGGCCAATGCCAGGTGCCCCAGAGGGAGTAGACCTAACAGGTAACGATCAAGTGATCTCACTCCTGCCATCCATCTCCACCCTCTGACAAACAAACCGAGGCTAGGGACACCACTCCTTACCCATCCTGGCTAATAGCCATTAATGGACTTAACCTCCATGAATTTATTCAGTTCTCTTTTAAATGCTCTTATAGTCCTAGCCTTCACAACCTCCTCAAGCAAGGAGTTCCACAAGTTGACTGTGCACTATGTGAAGAAGAACTTCCTTTTATTTGTTTTAAACTTGCTGCCCATTAATTTCATTTGGTGGCCCCTAGTTCTTATATTATGGGAATAAGTAAGTAAGAAAAAGTTATCTACTTTCTCTATCACTCATGATTTTATATACCTCTATCATATCCCCCCTTAGGCTAGGTCTATACTACCCACCTGAATCGGCGGGTAGAAATCGACCTCTCGGGGATCGATTTATCGCGTCCCATCGGGACGCGACAATCGATCCCCGAATCGGCGCTCTTACTCCACCAGCGGAGGTGGTAGTAAGCGCCGCCGACAGAAAGCCGCAGAAGTCGATTTTGCCACCGTCCTCACAACGGGGTAAGTCGGCTGCGATACGTCGAATTCAGCTACGCTATTCACGTAGCTGAATTTGCGTATCTTAAATCGACTCCCCCCTGTAGTGTAGATGTACCCTTAGTCTCCTCTTTTCCAAGCTGAAAAGTCCTAGCCTATTTAATCTCTCCTCATATGGGACCTGTTCCAAACCCCTAATCATTTTAGTTGCCCTTCTCTGAACCTTTTCTAATGCCAGTATATCTTTTTTGAGATGAGGAGACCACATTTGAACGCAGTATTCAAGATGTGGGCATACCATCGATTTATATAAGGGTAATAAGATAGTCTCCATCTTATTCTCTATCCCCTTTTTAATGATTCCTAACATCCTGTTTGCTTTTTTGACCACCTCTGCACACTGCGTGGACGTCTTTAGAGAACTATCTACAATGACTCCAAGATCTTTTTCCTGATTTGTTGTAGCTAAATTAGCCCCCATCATATTGTATTTTGACCATGGTTTGTTTGTTTTATTTTTACTATAACTAGCCTATTTCAAAAATAGTTTGAGTCAAGAAATTTGTGAAAACTGACCTTTTCCTACAAAAAAAATTTGGTTATGACCAATCAGCATTTTTCCAAGAAACATTTAGTTAAAAAAAAAAAACATTCTAGTCTTTAAGCCACTGACAGACAAACATTTGGATGATGCTGAATTTACAAGAGAAAAAGAGAGCATATTGCTTGAGCACAATATTGTTTCATTCTAGTCTCTACAAAACAATACAGAATTATCCAGTACCCAGAAAAATTGACTTCGCAGCCTTCACTGTACCTGCAATGTTAGACACCCGAAAGGCTTCCTGGTTTTTTGGTGTTTTCGATCGATTCTGGCTCCTTTGTTTGCCTCCCGTGGAACGAATACTGCGGAGATGCACTTCTGTGGCTTTGAAGAATGCTACCGTGAAAGGCTGCTTATTTTGTGGGCCATGTCTTCCAATAAGACCAGCCAGTTTGGGATTGATGCTTTGACCTTAACAGAAATATCAACAACACAATTAGCCCGTAAGAGGAATTGCTATAACTTTCCATTTCCACCAGCAATATTGAAGACAACGTGATTAGACAACTGGCCTATGTCCCACATATAAAATTCCCATTGAGGCCCATATGCCTGGATCAACTGATGGAGTGGGCCTAAAATTAACAAGCAAATCCACTTTTGAAAGGAATATCTCAGTACAACTAACTTCATTTTATATTTGAATGTAAAAGTTAAATAAAATGCTCCTACAAATAATTATTTTACCCTAAATCAGCTTTGCATTAGATTTTCCTGCATTCTTTAGAGGGGTTTCTTTAAGTTCACCAACCTATAACTTGAAGTGATCCCATAAAAGGAACCATAAAACTTAGCCCATAGGAACACTAAATTCCCATTGGAAGGTTATTAACTTAAAATAAAAATGCCTTGTATTAAATGTTGACACAGTTCCAGATATATTGCATTTGAAAGTAACAAATAGTTCAGATATTTAGCAACATTTTATTTATTGCCACATCTGTCCCACACAAAAGCAGTACTGAATTAGTAACCTGGTTATAGATACATTATGATTATTGCTCATTCCTTTTCTGATGCAGGATTTTTAAATTAACTTTAGTTTTGGACAAAGATGCCTGATTGATAGTCCAGGAGACTGAAGTCAACTGTTTACAAAGGCCTGGTCCCCACTTAGTCCGGACTTCGGACTAAGGTACGCAAATTCAGCTACGTTAATAACGTAGCTGAATTCGAAGTACCTTAGTCCGGACTTACCGCGGTCCAGACGCAGCAGGAAGTCTCCCCCCGTCGACGCCACGTACTTCTCTCAGCGAGCTGGAGTACCAGCGCCGACTGTGAGCACTTCCGGGATCGATCCGGGATCGATTTATCGCGTCTTAACCAGACGCGATAAATCGATCACAGAACATCGATGGCGTGCCGCCGGACCAGCCGGTAAGTGAAGACTAGGCCAAAGATAAGGCATGGATAGTGGCTGTACAGATTTGCCCCCAGATCCCCCCCTACTCCACTGTGTCTCAATTGTGTTGTGAAGGGACCATTTCTGGAGACCTCCTCAGTCTCTATAACCAACCAACCTTAGGACTCTGGTAGTGATGATCAGTCACACCAGTGTTGATAGTGGATTTTGTGATGTTTGTTAGGAACTGAACTAGGACTTGCCAAGTAAGTCGAAGAACAGCTGATGCTAGTTTTAGCCTGGTCTACATTATTCCTGTCGATATAGCTATTGCCTCGCGGGGGGGGGGTAGTTATGCTGATGGGAGAAGCTCTCCGTCAGCGTAGGTAGCGGCTTTATTAAGTGCAGCAGTGACACAGCTGCACCAGTACAGCTTCACCGCGCTAAGTATAGACAAGCCCTCAGTCACAAGCTGAACCACATTGGCACTGGCATTGTGGAAGTGAAAGGATCTGTATTTCCATTAGCAATCCACTGAGTCCTTTGGTCCTCTGATTTCTAAGTGCAATATGAAAAAAAAGGCAACAAAAGAACCTCGTTTTCTAAGATTCATTTCCAGAACTACGGTTTTCAAGGCATTTGTTCCGGAACAAGGGAATGGCCCACACCAATATCTCAAGAACCACGGTCTCTATTAGATCTTTTCATCCCTTCATGTTTAGCAGCTTTTTGAGTGCATACAAATATTAAGATGGAAAAGAATTGCCCATGATCACAGCTCAAGGCTAACAATGGCCAATTTACATTTGCTTCTCTCACTCTTAATTTGTCTTAAATAATTCACAACACAAAAGGACAAATTCTTTCCCTGTGCAAAGCTGGTGTACGTGGCATTTGCACAGAGAATCATAAAGTGTTGTTTGTTTGTTTTTTATATGAGCATGACAGCTTGGCAACTAAGCCATGACCTCCTGGCTACAACCCCTTAGGGTTCCCTCTGTGGGGAGGCAATAGGTTTAGACCTGTAGATATGCTAAATGGGATTAAGCAAAATTTATCTCCTAAGGATAAGACACTGGGTCAAGCTTTCCATGAATGAGGCCTAAATTGTATATTGTTCATCAGTGAAATGTGCTGATTCATATAAATACCTATTTACATATGCAAAGGTGTGTGTTTTGGTGGGCATGAGCATCTCCACCTGACTGTATCATTTTCATCCTCCGTTTAGGCCCTGTAAATTTGGCCACATAGTCTATTTTACACAGCTAGGCTGCTCCCAAAAAACACTTAAGCATGTCTGTAGCTCTAAGTACATAAGTAGTCCTACTGAAGTACCTGGAACTATTCGTGGTCTTAAAAGCTACACATATGCTTTTCTGGATCAGGGCCTTATTCCATTTTTCAAGAACAAGTTTAGCCAAAAATGAGTCAGAATTCATCTAGTACGGTATTGATTTCCCTCCCACCCTCCATTATCAGCATGAAACTTTTTCTGATTGCACTGCCATTTAAAAAGGCCATGGTTTTGAGAGACTAAATTTATTTTTAGTTGTATCATCTCACTAACAAGATCCTCAGCAGCTTGCAGGTAGTGACCCTAGATCAGTGGTTCTCAACCTCTGGCCCGCAGGCCGCTTGTGGCCCTATCAGCACGGAGCTGTGGCCCATGTGACATCCTCAGGGCCATACACCTAGTACTGGACGCGGCCCACACAAAACATTGTGGGCTGCATATGCGGCCCACAATGGTAAATAGGTTGAGAACCACTGCCCTAGATCACTCCTAGTTGATTCGATGGGTTTACATGAGGGTAACGGAGAGCAGAATTTGGCCAATGCATCAATTTAGGGAGAGGCTTGAGTTTTTTGATGACAGAAAGAAAGTTACTTTTTCTGTAGCAAATCTCTCTCTCTCTGAGTACAACTTTTTTGCTTTATGCCCTATTTAAAAAAAAAAATTAAAATGTTCTGAGTAAGACCCATACCAGAGAGCTATTGTGTTCCTCATTCATTAAACTTGTGGGGAGAACCCCCCCCCCCCACACACACACACACACACTTAAGTGACTAGAACTAAGTATTTCAACCTCCACCTACAGCCAGGGACCAGATTTCAAGGAAAAAGATGTTTAAGATATCTGTCTATTCCTAATTAACCAATTATGTACTTATCTAACACAAAATAGAGCTGTACTCTCAAATCCGAGAATGCAGACTATTTGTCTTTAAGAAGCTACTTTTTAAAAAAAAAAAACTGAGGGGGAAAAAAGGGGTATGAAGCAATAAGTAATAGGCTAAGTAAACCTAAATAGTCAACTGTTGTTCCTATGTATTATGAGGGCGTGAAGCATTTCAAAGTTTAGGGTGACAGGATGCCTAAGGCTAATGAATCATGTTAGTGTTTCTCTAGCTTGTTGTTTGAGCTTATCCCAACTTTCTAAGCGTAAACAAACATCCTTTAATTCCCCACAAGTTGCTATTGTTGATGGACTTATCTGGCATGGTAGTAAAGGAATATGAAGAGCAGATAAATGAACTCATCTGTTTTGTATCTTTCTATCTGGACAGTACTTTTGACTCTTCCCTTCTATCCTGGTTGCATTTTATTCAAGTATAGAGAGACTCACACAAAATAACTGGTACAAATTCTAGACAAAACTTGCAGGTTTTCAGTTTCATTACACACTTTAAACTCAGGCCATATCCACTGAAAGGTTTGCTACTTCAAAAATCTATAGTTTTGCATCAAAGTCATGCTATGTTTGCTAGTCTTCAGAATTGTGACATGACAACCAGGTGAAACTGCAGCTTTGCTAGGAGTGCACAGTTTGTTTGAACCCCAAATTAAACTTGGGCTTGGTGGGACTTACCCTTGCAGCTCAAAATGGAAGAAAATGTTTGCTTGAATTCTGGTGAAGTGAGACTGCGAAGATTTGTGCCACTTATAGGTTTAATTTTTAAAATGCCAGCAGCCAGATTCAGTCCTGGAGTTACTTTGTGTGTGTGTGTGTGTTTAAACCAAAAACAAGCCTATTTGTAAACTAAGGGAGAGATTTTTCAAAAACACAACTGGCATTTAGGTGTCTAACTCTCATTGAAAGTTGATGGGAGTTAGGCCCCTACATTGTCATTCTAGGCCTTTGAAAATACTCTCCCCAAGCTTTTTCTCTGACAGGTTTGTATAACTGTCTTCCTACCTGCTTTGTCTGAGCAATTACCATAAATGCATGCACAGTTGTGGCACTCTTTTGCATTCAGGATTCTGAAAGTCTGGGCAAGATGTCCTAATCATCTGTTCCCTTACTGCAGCTGCTATGATCTTATCTGCTGTTTATTCCATAGGCCTAAGTGCATAATATCTGTTTATAAAATGCCATGCACATTTCTAGTGTTTAAGGCAATAAGTTGTTACTGTAAATAATTTAGTTATACTATATTCAGACTTATTGCTTACACAGTCACAACTTATGTAAGTCCTAATACTCCCTTGTATGCTCACTCTACCAAGGTTTTATTACTTCCTATAGCCATGATTTATTCCAAATGGAATACACACAGAGCCCGGAAAATATTTCTAGACTGCAACGGCTAAGCACCTAGCAACATAATCAGAAGATAAAGACAAAGTGATCCATTCTGCCCCAGGATACAGGGCTTGTATTTTCTAGTATCACAGGCATTCATGGTAACTTAAGCAATTGAAATCTTTTAAATTTCTGGTTGGATTAATTCTCCCTGTTCATAGAGAGCAAAGATTTTTGAGACTCAAGCTAACTATGAAAGCTGATTGAGAAGGAGGTCACAGTCAATTGTACCAAATGAACAAAGACGTTGCCATATTAGATCAGATCCAAGGTCAGACCAGTTTTGTATCTCTGATACTCACACCCCATTTCTAACTCTCATGGGCTTGCATCACAAGCTGGCTGAAGAACTTGGAGTACATAGTGTGTCAAGCCATTCCTCACGTTTCACTGTTAAAAACTGATTGGACTGTTTATGTGAAAGCATTTTCTTCTCAGCAGACTAGACAAGCAAATCTAGAGATGTGTTGCGGGGAGGGAGAGGAGGCGGAAAAGAGACAGCACAGAGCCCAGGAAAAAAGGCCTGGGTAGGGAGGAGCCGCATAGAGAGGACCAGGGAGGAAGATGTGTGCCGAATAACTTCCTTTGATTCACTTGAGTGCTTGCTACAGTCACCACGACCAGCATTTCAGATGCTCCAGTTTGGGACTGTTGCAGCTAGGGAGAGAGGGAGAAAATCATTTGCTGAATGGAAGAGGACAATGGTGTCTCTGTGGGTGGGGAAGGAGGCCATGCCTTAATGATTCCTACCTAGTGTTAAAGAGAAAACATGGACTAGATCCATCAGCTGAGGATTTAGCCTGTACAGTTTTTTTTCTCACTTTCTAATGTAATATAATTGGAGAAACTCAGCAATTAAGACTTTCCTGACATTTCCTTCCCTACCCATAGAGACACCATTGGAAAAAGTATTTACTAAATTGTGGGGGGGATGGGGAGAAAAGAAAAAGAAAACCCAATCAATTTTAAACAGTGAACCACTAGGGCCAGAGTATTTATAAGTTTGGTTGAGCCAAAAGAATGGCCAATTTTTATGTGTAGTTTTGCAGGACTTCAAGTACAAATAAAGTAAATATATGTGCATATTAGTCACGTGCATAGTTACTAGATTGCACAAATCATGGTAAATGTTTGTGTGCAAATTAGGGCTCAGATCCACTAAAGCAGATGCTTAACTTTGAGCTTCTTAATAGTTTCTTTTGAGATGCTTAAAGCTAAGTATGTGCTTATGCTTTTACTGGATTCGGACACAGATGTATGACTGTCTTGAAATCAGGTGGTGATTATTTAGATATGTTCAAATCTAGCGTGATGGGCTAATATTGTAATTTTGTAATACTTTTCCAATATCTGCAGCTTAAGAAAATTCAAGACAATCTTGAGAAATCCCACTCAGATGAATGACTACTGGTTGCATTCAGACTAATCCTGACTGGATTCCTACAGCCAAAATTGAGACTTTTTGATGACATTTACTCTCTGAAACTTACCATCTATACTCTCAACTGATAGCTGCAGGCCGAGATTGTGTTGTGGGTTTACCACCCAGTGATTACTGGTTGCTGTAATATCAAACACCAGCCAACCTTCCTCTGCAGCCCAGATTATTCGAGTGTCAAGTAGGAACAAATCTGAATCCCTGAAGGAAAAAAGAAACAGTTACTTGGATTTTCAGATGGAAATAACTTATTGTAAATAGCCATTCAAGTTAGTACTTTAAGCAACACAATTGGTAGCCTTTATCACAATACACAAGTTATGTCACAGATAGACAATGCCAACCTAACTGCCTTTTTTCCTGAACAATGGGAGGATGGATTAAAGTAGCATTAATGTGGTTTGGAGCGTACATATTGCTGTACTATTACAGCTAATCCTACTATTGTAATTTTAAAAATGTTTTCCAGGCAAATATGTGAACAGTTATTGTGTTTGCATATGAAACTTGGTAATTGGGCATGCAAATACATCTAATTATCCTTTTCCATGCATAATATTTCCATGTTGGAAATAATCATGGCAGTGGTGCAAGCAAATTGGAGCATGGTTGTGTGCCTTTTGCAAACACTAACGTATATAAAGTCTTTAAAAATCTGCTCTGTTGAGGCTACATACAATTGAATAAGGATCACAACGCAGCACTACCTCCTTTCAATCTATTGTTTAAAAGCTAAATAAACAGACACACTCTGATTATTTTGGACCAGAAATTGAGAACAAAAAATCAAAACTAATCAGAATCGGAGAATACTTCAAGGTCTCAGATGGGGCTGTGGTAATCATTCTGGGTCTTCAACAATTTACCACTGAGATGAGCTGCAATTGAAAATCTGGTAAATTACAAGGATTACAAAGGTTCTAAAAAGGAATGATCTCTTTCATCAGAAGCCAATGCAAAGAAGTAACTTGGATGATAACAAGAAAATTGGGTTATGGTTTAGCTACCTCCAAAAGGAAAAGTCTTTCTTTACAAGAAAGATGGAGACAGCAAGGTGGTGTCTGGACAAGCCCTGTAGGAGATTCTTTCATATTTTGCAATGTGCAGATGTTGGAGAGTAACTATAGCTTTTTGAGTATAGAAAAACCTTGTAAAGGGATACGGAAAGTTCTTTTATTGTGTCCCATAAGCCTGGGGAGGGCCAGATTAATCTGTTTTATAGACTTGTCAGTACAAAGTTTTTTTAATGTCTTTAGTTCACTCAGGGCCCCTTGTTTGCCTGGAACATCATGTGATACAAAAATCTAAAATGAGAGGATTTATATGGCCCCCAAAGCCTCAAAAAAGTATATGAATTTTGCCACTGTGTGGTAGGAAATAATATTATCCTTCATGTTTTACAGTTGGGAAACTGAGGCATCAAAAAATGCAATGACTTGCCCCAGATAAGAGTCTAGCAGAGCAGGAAATTGAACCTCATTCACTTGAGTCCCGTTCCAGTGTCTTGACCACATGGCTCTCCTTCCAACCTAGATCGGTCAAGCTATACAATAATAGCTTTAATCTAAGTCACTGGTGTGAATAATAGAAGTGTCTGTACTTACTACCTCATAGCTGTTTAGTAGCTTATATGAAATTAAATATCCAATTCCAGTCCGGAAGGACAAATGACCACATCACCAAATGCCTATGGAAGTACAATTTCATATTTCCCCCCCACAAACACACAACACTCTTAACCTCTGCATGTGCTAATGTGGAATATTTACAAATGTTGCTGAGGCTTTCACTAATATTACATATTATATGTGAGGGAGATCTTATCAGCGGGAGGCAGAAGGAAATTCCTTGTGAAGATGCAGAGTCTGTTGCTCCCCGTGGACGTGTGCTGCTTGTAGGTATTGGGTGCAGTTCGGATCTATCTCATAACTTGGCATTTCCTTGCCCTTGAGGGCTGGCAAGGGGTAGGGGAGGGGAATTGGGAAGATGTCACCTAAACAACCTTTTGTTCTTTTAAACAACGTTTTTGCTTATGGAAAATCCAGGCTTTAGGCTCCGTCCGTACATCACAATCTAACTTGTTGGGGGACTGTGCTACAAAGCTGTTTCTTGCCTGTGTAGAGGGGATCACAATATGTGTAAATCAATTACACAAATGTGAGACTGCCTTAGGGTGTAAGTAATATCAAAATTAAGACACAACGTGTTCCACAGGCAGGAGCGGCGCCAGGGTTTTTGGCACCCTAGGCGGGGGTCCTTCTGCGCTCCCGGTCGGCGGGCAATTCTGCGGCAGGGGAGTCCTTCCTGTCTTCGGGGCACTTCGGCGCCGGGTCCCGGAGCAAATGATTAGGGGTCTGGAGCACATGACTTATGAGGAGAGGCTGAGGGAACTGGGATTGTTTAGTCTCCAGAAGAGAAGAATGAGGGGGGATTTGATAGCAGCCTTCAACTACCTGAAGGGGGGTTCCAAAGAGGATGGAGCTCGGCTGGTCGCCGTGGAGCTCGGCTG